CTTGTTAGCCGTCAGTAGCCAGTCCTACTCAATCTCAGGTGTCGGTCACCCAAGTTTTGAATCCGGGTGTTCGGCCATAAAGTACAACACTACAATTGCACCACGGGCTCGTTGCTTTTGTCGGTTGCGATCGGGAATACGGTGGAAGTTGGATGCTCACCCATCTGATTACGCAACGTGTTCTTTCCGTTGTGTCTTGGACCGCAATCTCCTTCAACATATAACACCCCTCGCAGCTGTACCATCCAGCGCAGAATGTCGTCGAAACACGTATCTGGGCTTTTAGATATTACCTGCGCTGCTGTATGATAAACTATTAAGGAGGTTAAAAGAAAGAACCTATAACCATGACTTTTTAGGCCGCGGGGAGGTCTAGATGCCCGTTGACGGAATTGGCATTCGAGTACCATGCCTCAAGCATCAGCCTTTCGGCTTTTGACTTTCCTCGGCCTATGATGGTTGCTCCTTGAAGAATGAAGTCATGGCCAGTCTCTGCGACGTGTTCTGCCAGTTGAGAGTTTGGGTCTAGTCTCCGAGCTGCCAGTTTGTGCACGCAGTTCCTACATACTGTAATCATGTCATACTTTCCTGACATCTGCACCCATTAATGCTTTCATGTTGCCAACTTTAAAGTTAGATTCATGAGTCACCTTTTCAACGTTTCGCTAGTTGGCTAAACTTTTGTCGATTTATCACTCATAAAGTTTCCTGTAGAACAATACTCCATATCAAAAGAAGGTTGCTGGTTGGTCACTGTAGGTAGAACTTGTGGCCCGACCAGTATGATGCACTCTTCAGGAATCGTTCCAGTGCATAGTGCATACCCAGGTTTTATAATTTGTCCTCTATAGGTGCCGGTTGTGGGGCTTTGAGCTGAAAACATTATTGGTCAAGTGACATTTAGGTTTACAGTATAACCTTAGTTACTTACTTCTACTTGTTACGGCTGAGATCATGACTGATCTAACCGGCCTCAATTATGCCCCGTATGGTACTTCTCCACGCACGACGGTCCGTGGCCGCAGACCTGGACAGTTCGAGCCATTCTTTTCACCAGCGCCGGAGACCAAATACCGAAGGTCCAAGAACCACTTCCATGTCTTGACGGACTGAGTCGGGCCAGGTTTTGAGTTGACCCCCTCTTCGACGTTTCCAATCAGGCAACGGTTTCAAGTCGAGCGCACTAGAACTGAGCTCTTGAGGTTGGCGACGAAGAACGTGTCCAAACCACCTCAGCCGT